ATATTTATTATATGATTTGTACATGCTCGTGTAATGTCTACTTATATTATATTCTTTTAGAACGCTAATAACTTGTAAAAAAATTAGGCACATAGGCTTATTGTTATGTTCAATACATAAATACATTAGTTCCCATTTTGAATTAAATACTCTTTTTTCATCGTCAAATTTACGTTTTTTTCTTTCAGACATGGTAAAAATTAAACGTTTATACAGTAATAACCCGGGCACTGTCACACGAGCACACTAACACACGGGGTCGACTGGCTAATGATTACTGATAAGATTAAGATTAAGTTTAGAGAAATATTTAATGCTCGCAATTGTGCGATTGTGAATAACATTCACGCCGTTCATCGCGTCTTATCGCGATATGATCGACACCCGGGAACTCCCGCCGTATAATAATAAAATGTAAAATTTAAAGTATAAATTCGTAATAAGATGGTATAAATTGTTTATCTTCTTATTGCGATTTTGTTATAATATTATTGTGATTTAAAATTTAAATTTTAAATTGTTGGAAGGGCCAAAAAAAAAAAAAAAGCTTCGCGGGTTGGACCACCCTGGAATATTGTAATATGATGTGTCAACTAGGTATTAAAATATTATATGTGTTTAAAAATGGTTAAGTATAACGATTACATAATTTTAATTATTATCCTTTGTTAATTAAATAGATTAGTTATTACAAACTTAAAAATTTATAAAAATGTAAATACATTTTTATTAAATAGTTACTTAACAACTCATCGGGATAAACAGTTTATTTTATTATAAMGTCAAAACAAATAAATTAATACAATCGTGTATACATACATTATAAAATACATAGAAATAAATAGACGCCTTTTTTTTTAAATTTTCATATCGCTTTGTAGTCATATATATCTGCAATTTATTTTTAGTACATAGAAACAAATTTATTCATATAAGTTTGTATACTTAAAACTATAAAATATAWCAACATAATATTATACACGCGTATTCGATCTATGCCCCCAATGCTGTAGTATAGTTTTCATCTTATCTTTTTTGGTGCCCAGGTGAAATGACCACATTTTTGGAATACAATAGAAAAATACTGCACGCGTACGGTAAGGATTAAGGAGTAAGGACGTAGGACTATTAATTGTAATAGCCTATAATGACCAATGAGTCTGTTATAAATCGGTACCTTAAGTCCAAAGCACGATGTAGAGAAGATAAGGTGATACCACTCGTAAATATTCCTGATGTGCCAATTTGGACGGCAGTTTGATAGTACCGCGGGAGCGCGATAGGTAGCACCACCATTCGCCCGGAGGTAGGGGTGGGAATTTATCGATAGTTAACACCATCGATATTTTTCGATACTATA